ATCTGGTCCGCTTGTAAATGCTGCCGTGAGAACACGAACCAGCTCTAGGCAATTATGCGGCTTTGTAACAAAATTAGTCCCTGATTCAGACCAAAGCAAGACAACTCTAGGTCTGAAAGCAGCCTTAAATGGGTGGGTTTTAAATTCACTATGTTAATTTACTTGCATGGGAAATGTACCAGTGTGTTTGCATTGCCAACACAACTTTTGACAATGGAAAACCAAAAGAGAGCAAGTTGAGTTGAGTAGCGCCATGCTGTACCATGCAGTAGAAATTCTGGAGTTAGTGTTGTGTGTAAAACGCCTCTAAAAGATTGACTGTCCACAAATTTAAAAACGCTTCACAGGCACAAGGTTGGATATGACTTACCTGATGTACATCTCCTCCCTGTCTATCTCCTTGTAAAAGTTCTATAGGAAAGAAAGAGACCATTAAAAGGGGTTTAAAAAGGCTCATAAACTTTTAGTGACAACAGCGTCATTGTACTGTTTACAAAGGTCCAGCGTATCATGCTTACATTGCATAACTTCAGAAATCACTGGACTGTAGATTATTTTTTAATCTTTTAAAAGAATAATATTTTGGCAGTGTGACAACTTAATTTTCTATAATATGGATGAATACCAATGACCTGGCTTGCAGCAGGCAGACATAAAAGTAAAGAAAAGTAAGTTGGCTGACTTCAGAATACACTGGTGTGAGTCACAATGCTCCCCTGGCTAAAACTGAAAACTTACATTTTACACAGCCTGGCACGGCACTGAGAGAGCATGACTCAGATAAATGCTGAATATAGGCCACAGGCCTGTAGTCTTTTCGATGCCGGCAGTCACGTGAGACAAAATTGACATTTCAGTGCTCCGAGAAGAAATGTCACTTCACAGAGGAGAGGTGTCTCAGGTGAGCTGCTCTGTGATAACATCTTAATGCACTGTGACATGTGGTTGTTATTGTTCCTTCACTGTGGGTAGTCGCACGTTGTAATGGTCATTTTATTGGCAATAATAACCTGCGAACAATGCCTGCGTGTGGATAATATAGATCTTGTTGATAACTGTTGTTAGAGTGATTGATACATTTCCCCACATGTCTGTATGTGTCATCATTACTGGGTTTGTGTGTCTTCAGGGACTGAGGAAAAAGAATCTTACGAGCACATTGACAGTGCAGCTCATGCGGTTCTCTTTGTTCTCGTCGTGCATGATGGTCCTGTAGTCCAGCAGCCTCTCCAGCAGACGCACCACCAGAGTGACGAAGTTTTCGCCCGTCTTGGCCAAGTACTTGTGCTTCCTGCAGTGCTCCAGTAAACTGGTGTGTGTTTGTTTGGATAGGGGTTGCGGAAGAACAGACGCCAGGGGCAGAGAGGAAGACAAATGTGAAGCATGTATAAGAGGTTCATCGACAGTTCAAAATGTCAGACTCGTGCCACCAAGGATTCGAGAGAAATAACGTTTTTTTTTTTGCCCATTAAATCAGAGTTAACATCCAACTGCGCTGAAAGCAAATGGTGGCAAGCTGTGATAGTCGTGTGATCATCAGCACACTGTGATTATTTTGAGGAGTGCCATGTTGCAATTAGCATTACCTTACTTGTGAGAGGCTCAGGCGTAATCCTGCCCATTAATCAGCACTTACATTTTCTGAAAGAGAACTTTGTACTGCTCGTCTCCGCGGCCCCCCTCCACCTCGTGATCCAGCTTGGTGATGATCTCGTTCTCAAACTGCAATTAGACAGAGCAGGCGTAAATAATCAGTGTAGCTAATTTTTCAATTAATTAACGCCATCTCTCTGTCTCACTCTCTCTCCATGTCGAGGCTTGGCCGAGGCGATCTGGGCTCTGACTTTAATTGTCCCTCTCTTGCAGCCCGGCTGGCTGTGAGCTGCCGTTCATTATTCTCTTATCTTGTTATTATCTGTATAAATTTGGTTAGAACACAGAACGACGCTGCATCATGAGACACATCCGCGTTGCTTTTGCTCTGCTGCTGCTGCTGCGGCTTCTGACAGTGATGCATGGAGTTAATTTCTCTGATATTTGTATGTAGCAGCTGTATGAAAAAAAAACAGCTTTTATTGTGCTGAAACAAACCAATTTTCCCTGACTTCTTTATTTGCTCGGGTATTGGCCAGACACAAACACAGATCAGGTGAGGAGAGTGCAGCCAAGTAAGAAAAGATATAAATGCTGCTCTCTGTTAAGCCAACACACAGCAGAGGAGAGAGACCCATTAAAGGGAATATGACTGTTTTAAAGCATAAAAAATGGCTCAGGCGAATGTGAAACAGATCACATTTCACGAAAGGACAGACTCTCCAGGTGAAAACAACTTGTTTAATGCCCTAGTATATTTTAAGATTTTGAGCTGTTTTGCTTTCATGACATGTCTTCTTTTAGATTAGTGGAAAGAAAATGTCCAAAATACAAATTAAGATTTATTTTAGTTCGGATATTGTATTTAATTTATGTTAAAAAAAATGCATATTTGCATATTCAGTTAAAATAAAATCAGAAAACTTGTAATGCAATAATTGTCTTAATATAACCAGCTGGAAAAGTTTCACAGTGATATTTATTAGTTTTTATCCCATTTTCAACTGTAGTATATTTTATCTTATATTTCAATTGTAGAATATATTTAGTTTAGTTTAGTATAATTTTACAATTCATATCTTCAAATGCTATTTTCTCAAAATTTTGTTTTCTCATATTCTAATCTTTATTCCATCTGTTTTTTGTTGTTGTTTTTTTTGTTTTTTGTTTTTTACAGAAGGTAAAAAAAGGTTTGTTCTTATCATTCATAATCTCATTTATATAAAACTGTATTCCTAAAATATGGCAAAAATATTTTGGAGTGATTAAAAGAAATATACGAAGTTCCCGCTGTCAAAATTAAACAAGAATTTTGAACCTGGCTTTATCCAAATATTTGTTCTAGAAATTTATGTTAATTAGTGCATGATATAATAATTATAATTAATATTAGTAATAGAGCGCCTTTTATACAGGGGGTGTAGCTCAAAGTGCTTTACAAGAAAAGGAGGAGCAAGAGAATAAAAAAGGGCAATTTTTTAAAAAAGGGCAAAGACTGAACGATAAAACCAAGCAACTACATGGATAACAAACATAAGAGGCAGCACAAACAGATATGCTACAAACAGAATACATAAGAAGGCATATGAAGGATTAATCACGTAAAAGATGCACATAAAATTGCAGAAAATTAACAGTTCTTAAAGGCAATGCTGACTGAATAGGTTTTCAATTGTCTTTTAAAAATGTTCACAGAGCTTGCTTCTCTTCAGGCCTTGGGTAAAGAATTCCTTAATTTCGGGTGCACAGTTAAAAAAGGCTGAGCTGGCAATTTTATTTTTTCTTATTACAAATGGCAGCAGAGGATCTAAGAGTCCGTGAAGGATGATAAAATGACAAAGAATTAGTAATGCAGGCTGCTCTCAAACCATTTAGAGACTTTAAAATCAGTC